GGGGGGGGGGGGGGGGGGGGAATCAAATAATGGCGATGAGAAGAAATTCTTTTTATAGCGGCTGCCATGGTAACGGCAAGAAGGAGAGAAAGTAATATTCCATAAAGTAAATGAGTGCCCCACCATCCTACCCCCCCACTGCTCCCCCGCTGGGCTGCTTGAGCCTGATGGAGTAGAGAAAAGGGAGACGACGCTCGCTCATACCTCAGACACACTACTTAGCCCACTTTTACAGCACCCTCAGCACAAATGATGCGACAAAGGAAACAAAGCACAAATGAGAAAGCGCGACTCCGCTGTTTGTGTGCGTGTGTGTGTGTACGTCTGCATCATTCGCCATGATGAGAAGGAGGAGCGGGATGAGGGCAGAGTGTTTGCGTGTGCCAGCTCGAGTGTATTTGGGAGGAACGGAGGGGGGGAGAGGAGAGGTAATGACTCTCAAGAATCTCACTTCTCTTGCCTTCGAGCCAATAAACCGCACACAAGGACGGCTTGTTGGAGAGATTTTGTCAACTGTAATTGAAAATGTATCACGAGTGAGGAGAGAGTTTAAGGCAGGGCTGCTGATCCTGAAGTTGTTGTGCTGCGGGAAGAAGGGTGGACTTAAGATGAAGACGTAGGAATAATTCATGTCTCTCTCCGGGGAGTGATGCCCACTTTGAAGCCTCTCATTTCACATAATCACACCGTGGGCCTGCGAAGGGAGTTTTCTGTTCTAGGAGCTGGTAGAAAATGACCACCTGGGCCTCAAATGGAGATCTTGTGGGGACTTGACGTGGGAAACAGGGTTGATGAGGGGAGCTAAAACAAGTTTTGCTACTGCACATGATGGTGGAGGTAACAGGTGCAAGTAGGATAACTAATTTGCTCTCAAATGTATTGGTCAAATCACTCTTAACTGAATAAAAGGTGTCAAAAAATTTCAGAAACTTGCAAGAAAACATCAACCAAAGTATCAAAAAAGTCAAAGCAGGATGAAATAAACTTTGAAGCAATGACTGTAAAAAATATTCAGAAGAATTTGATGAAATCAGAGATTTTATTCTGTCACACGCAGATGAGCTGAAAAACCAATAAGTTCTCCCAGAGAGGCTGAGATTCAGACTGATTCTCCTCTTTTTATTATCTCCAAGAGACCTCCGCCCAGCAGTTTGGCAAACACTCTTTCTCTCATATTTCAAGGACTTCTTGGAACAGCAAATCCATAATGCTACATGAAGTGAAAGGTCCTTCTGCTGCCTCCGCAGCAGCAGCAGCAGCAGCAGGTTGCGAGAGCTTGAACTCCAGTGGTGGCCTTTTGAATAACTTTAAATGGTGGTTGTTGTTGCAGCAGATGTTCAAGTACCATTAGCAGCACAAACACTTTTTCACCAACGTTACCGTTGAGTCTGGGGATCTTGTCCTAATGCGACAAAAGGGTTAGAGCATATCTATCAATCTAAGCTGCAGAATTAACTGAATTGTAATAGTTACTTAAATAAGTTTAAATACATAATCCAAGTCATTTAATCTTTTTTTAAGAGGTAAGATAAAGTAGGGTAATTTCATTTACATAGCACATTTTTAGTGATAAGACAATTCAAAGTGCTTAATATGAATTGGAAGGAAATACAAACAAAAACAACAAACCAAAAATAAACAAACAGGTAAAAGTACAGAACTAAATATCGAGTTCCCCATATTTAGCAAGAATAAGAATAAGTAGTCTGAAATTTATAAACTAATAGGAGGTCCATTCTAAGTTTGTTCTAGATTTGTAATCTAAAAGGATTTTCTATAGGCCTTACAAGTTTAATGCTAAATATTGATCTAAGGTAGTTTCTCTAGATAAACTAATAGGAGTTTCTCTGGATTGTAAGTTTGCTCTGGGTTGAGTGAAGCATCCTCTGGATCTTTTTGTTCTAACTAATAGGTTTTATTCCTGTTCTGGGTTGAGAAGTTGTAGGAGGGATGTTATGTATTTTTTGCATTATTTGAGCATACTTCCGCCTATGAGTTGTTGTGAAGTGTGAGCAGCATGGTGTTGCATTGTGCGGGGGGAATATCAGGGTTTGGGGAGAAATAAGGATTGCTGCAATTTGCTGCGCGATGGTAGGAGTAAGACAGCTCTTCTAATGTCGGAACCGAGTCGTCACGGTTTTGGAGCGAACGGTAGAGAGAGTGAGAGATCCAATTCCTCGATTACTTGTAAAAATATTCTATAGAGTACTCAATTACTAAAATATTCTTTTATAGCAGCCCTACAGATTGCTTTGAGGTGTTGAAAATGCAGCATATTTTAAAAAATGACTAAATACATTTGACTTTGCTTCACAGCCATTTTTCTGACACCTTGAAATTGGCTTCCGTCTCTTTAAAAAAAACTCACAACAATGTTTATCCTTTCTTACAACTATTTATTTCCATCCATCCAGCGGCTCATTTTCTTTATGCTATGATTCATATCTTATAATCATAACTGAGGGCTGGAAAGTTTATGTAAACAGGTCGGATGATGCCGTAGCCTAAACAGGACGATTGCATGACGAACATTTTGTCAACTTCAATTTCCTTTGTTCGAATCACAAACAATACCACAGTGCTCGCTCGCTTAGCGACGGATTTCCACCTCACCCGCTGCTTTCATGCGCTCACCTGCGAAACGCCAACACAAAGTGCTCAATAATTTATCGACCACCTACTTCATTATGCTGAAGCCAGATTTGTTTTGTTAATTTATTAATCTCTGCATGCTATGCTAATGTCCAGCCAACCGTGCCGCGATAACGGAGGCAGTCTTGTCCCCGTGGCACAAATGAGAATTTATGGGCTCAGGTTACCACAGAAATGAACTCCCGTCTCCAAAATCAATAGGCCCTGAGTTGGGTAAATAAACGCCTGCAGAAACCCGAAGCAGCTCAAGGTTTGACTGCTGACAAGTCAGCAATAAAACCCGACGTGCCAGACAGATGACAAGATGTTAACCCTTTCGAAGGAGACACGTTATCATATCAGGGGCACAGAGTTTAACCTCATGCAGTGCACAGATTAGTTCAGCTTTATCTTCCATCTTTTTTCCTTCGCCCCCTGTGGTTTTCCTGGCTTCATCTCTGGCTACGTGTGTATGGAAATAGAATCAAAGCAGGATCCGAGAAAGCCCAGGGTATCAGCTTCAACAACAGAGAACGGATGATTGAATATATTATTGATCTGCTGCATGAAGTCCGGGTATGAATTATTGAGCAGAGAAGCCCTCAGCCTTTGAGTGTGTGGGGAGGGGGGGGATCTTGTTGTCAGGGAGTAATAGAGGAAGAGAGAAGCAAAAGGCTCTGCTTAAACTGCAATTTGTTTCTCCCGCGTGCGTGCATCAACGCAAGAGAAAACTCATCATCGCAGATGCGTCTTCGTTAACGTTGCTCCGCAGCGACTTGGAACATGTTTCCTGCATCCATCTACTTCTTCTGCGTTCTCTCCTACCCTGCTGTCCTCCTCCTCCTCAGGTCCTCACGGCCCATCTGCAGCAATAGGTAGTGCAGAGAAGGAGAAAGTGTGTTGCAAAAAAAAAAAAAAAAAAAAAAGGGAGGAGCTAACAATCAGAAGGAGCTGCATCCTCTGCAAACAGCCCTGATGGGAAATATGCACCGGGATGATACACTATAGACTTCTTTACATGTTTTAAGGAGGAGGGATTGACATGAAGATACTCTTGTTTTAAAGGAAAGAAAGTTTAGAGGCTGCAGTAAAATAAAACCAAACGGTGCGAAGCTCATAAAGAGGAGCTCGGCATTATTTTTTTAAAGATGTGATATACCACTAGTGGAGAGTAGCAAATGTGCTCTTGTTCTGCTTGTCAGAGAGAGACTTTATGACAAAACATTCATCAACGTATTTGCTCTGGACCAAATTCACTACAAACTGCACAAGTATTTTTTTCCAGCTGAAAAAACAAAAAAAACAAAACAAAACTTAAAATTTGGGATGATCTGCTTGCCAGTGTTATATTATGCCGAGATTTAGAAAAATTATAGTTTCAAAACTGCTAAAATATCCCACCATATATTTCCTGCAGTTTAAAGTGTGAAGCATTTTCTCTGCAGTGCTGCCCCTCCCCCATTGTTTGTAGCACAATGCTAGTCAGCTGGCTTAAACGAGACGACAATTTTCTGTCACTTATGAAGAAGGAAGATTCGGCTGCCTTGAAATGCTTCTGGTCGCAAAAGAAAGCAGAAGAGCGATGAAGCAAACTCTTAAAGAACATTTATCTTATTAAAGAAACACTGCTCAAAGCATCTTTGTTAAGCTGACTGCAGGGTTACACAAGCAGATAACCTGACTAATGAGCCATCTATTATCAGTCTTGTTATACTAGAGTTACTTTTTAAATAGAGGAATTGAAGAGACAAAATGTTCTGAACTATTAACCTGCCTGGCTTCTAACGTGCAACTAAAAATCTTGACCACAACCATTTTATTCTTGATCATAATTCTTGCACTTTTTTTTTTCTGCAAAATTTCATTTCTGTTATTTCTTTTTTTTTTTTTTTTAACTCCATGGCATTGAGCTTTGGTCCCATATTCACAAAGAATCCTAAGACCAATATTATCTCTTAGTGACGTCATTTTAGGCGAGTTTCTGCAATTCTGAGATTTTTTTCTTTCTGAATTTTACCTCAGTAGGATAAAAGTAATGCACAAAGAATCTTAAGAGATCGTAATGTGACAAAATGTCACGAGAGGTGACCTTTTCTGAGCCTAAGAGTTTATTAAGCTTCCTGTAGACCCAGGGGAAAGCAAGGTGGATATCACTGCAATGATGCAATGGGTGTTTCCCGTCAGCCTGTCAGTTCCTGAAAATACAGGTAAATAAAATAATACAATAAATAAATAAAACTCGTAAAAGCGCAAGTGGAGTCAGTCCAACCCCTCCGAGACTCCTGAAGGGTTAACTGGGTAAGGTAGTGAAGAGTCTGACAGAAAGGAGAGATATCCTTCGTTACCTGGACAGAACCGAGCCAACAGCAGGCACTGCTCCTTATCCCGATTGGTTTTCATGTACTTTCCACTTTTTTCTGTTGGTCGTTTCACCAGATAAACACACAAAAATTTAATTATTGAAAGAAAAAAAAAAAAAACAACACAAGTGTTGAGAAATAACTGTTCGGTTATTTCTTAAGGTAAAATTTGCTCCCCACTGGAATTAAGGTTGGGATTTTCTGTGAGAAATTACGCCACATTTTAAGATGTTTGACACATTTTCATCAGGATTGCACGGCATGTGACCTCAACGTGTAAGGATCTAACCAGCATGGCGTCACATCAAACAGAAAGTAATTTTCCCTCCTTATTCATGACTCTTTTTCAGTTTATAAAGAACCAAAAAAAAAAAAAAAAAGTGTCAAAACAAATGAGTAATGATCCATGACGAGTTTCAAGTCTGTGCACAGAGTTCACAGAATAGAGAAACAAATTAAAAGCAGAAGCTGCTTTAAAGGCGGGGGAATAAATCTCTTGTCGGTTTACTTTGGTCTACACAATTTAGAGCTAATGGGCTAAAACGTGCAAAAACTACTGGTATTGTCATTTAGTCCTTTGTGGCAAATTTGTCCACATCTGCCTTTAATTCCTCATTACTGCTGAGCTGAGGGGGGAGGAGGGGAATGACTTGGAGCAAAGTTGTGTGTTCCTTACTTGATGTCACTTTCCTGGACCCTCTCTTCGTCCAGGTCCTCTATGAACTTCTCGCCCTTCATCCAGTAGATATGCGGGCTGGCGTCTCTGCTGTAGCCAAAAAATGCTCTGCATGTGAGGTTCAAAGCGCTTCCTGCGGAAAGAGGAGACAGGCTGTCACTTTCGAGAGTTCCTGCTGTCTTGTTACAGGTGACGTGTTTATGCGCAGCCTGGAAAAAAAAAAAATAATAATAATCAAAGACAGTGCTACTAACACAGATGCTCATTATGATTAAGAGGTTTGACATATATTTTTTTTTTGTTTACACCCACGCATGCTTCACAAAATTATTACACATGGAGACAAACTGATGCACAAATGTCATAACTTTCGGTGGAGACAATCTGTCTGGAAAATGTTTTGATTTTTCTGACGTAAAAAAAAAACCTAAAAAACAAGTAAACAGCATTGACCACACGGGGGCACTCAAGAGCCGCTCAAATTCCCCCCTTAGAGACCGGTGTCATACGAGAAAATAGGGATTTGAGAGAAGACACACGATAACATTATTTTATTTGGAGCTGCTGCTGGGTGCGAGGGAAGGTCAAGAGTCAACAACTGCAGTTTGCAGGGAGCTGATCTGTGGAAGAGGGAGTAATTGTCTCTGGCGAGTCAATGGGATCTTTACTCTATGAATGAACGGCTTAAAAGAGAGAGGGCAAGTATTCACGCGGACTGTCACTTCAGCCCCAATTAAAAAAGTTTCACGAAAACTCCTGGTATCGTTAGGTTATTCGGGGGAGAAGAGAGATGTTAAAATAAATAATGAGTCCAGGGTGAAGAAAATGTGATAAATTATAAAACCATATTTCACATGAAGCACCTCTGTGAGCTGATCAGAGCTGGCATTAGCAGGACTTTTTTTTTTTTTGCCTCTGCTCATGCTCGACTGTTAATGCAGTTGAACTAACTATGCACGGTTGAAACAGAGCATTCGCATGTTCGCCTTTTATTCCATGAAAGGGACCTGGGGTGCAGTCAGCACATGTTGCATGTAAACAACAGCTGATGAGCATCGCCCTCTGTAACGTTTTCAGTGTAACGTTTCCCGTACTCTCCTCTGGGAAAGAGTGAGGGATCTGAAATGCTTTTGAATACATACCTTGCAAATCTATTCCTACTTCTAACCTCTTGACGTTTTGATACACAGTAGCGAGATTTCATATGGTAGACCAACACAAAACCAGGACAACTATTGCATTTTCAGCTGCTGCTGGTCACTTGTGCACTGCAATATGTCAACTAAACCAAATCTATTGAAAAGCCCGTTTACCCGCTCACCTGGTACTGCACCAAAAACGCTAAGTGCAACTTCCTTCTTCACGAAATGTAAACACAAATGGAGTAACGTCAGAGTTTTGCTTTTGACAAAAGACCATGAGCCGTTTTTCCTGCTAAACTCTAGACTGGCGTGTTTGTTTTAGATGAGTTTAAGCAGAATGCCCCGCGCTGCAGCCCTCCTTTTGGAGCGGTCTCTCCCGTCTTCATATGTGCATTCAAACCTCACCAGAGTTCACTTCAACCATACCAAGACCAAGGATTCACATCGCCCCAAATTAACTTGTTTCTTTTAAACAATGCCTACCTTTGTATAAATAAGCTTGCTCACACTTATCACAGGTGTTTTGGATTCAGGTTTTTACAGATGCACTCCATGTTGGGCTGCAGTCAACATAAAATGAATCTTGTATTGTGCTTTTCTGAAACATATGTTTGTCTGTTTGATTTCTCTGTCTTCCATTATTTTCTCTCTTTCTGTAAGTTTAGAAGCAGACTTGTTATATTCACTTTCATGCATTATATTCTTCCCTCTTTACAATCATGTGCTACTTTGAGTTCAATCCCAGTACAAATACTTTAAATTGTTTTCTGAAATGTGACTAAATGTGAAGAGTTGGGGAAACAATAATCATTTTGCAAGGCACTGAACAGACAGATTGATTTTACTTTATTTGCTGTATTACTTAGAATCAGTCACATAAAACAATCTATGGTGGAGATTTAATAATTATTTCCTTTTGTGTTTTATTTGAAGATCAATAGCAACACAAAGTGGAACAAAGAGGAGAGAGAAAAATAACTCAAACATTACAAAACGTAAGGAAACATTCACAGCTTAGTTGGCAAATGTGCATATATAAATGCATAGACATTTTCACTGTGCAGCTAATAGGGCTGCTGATTCATGATCAAGTCCAGTTGTACGTTTGCCAGAAAAAAAAATAAAATAAAATGGGAAGAATTGTACACCTACATCTGTAGACAACATATCAGTTTAAACACAGTCTTGTGTAACAATAAAAATAGTTATGTAAACACGCCTGATGAATAATCAATAAATGTGTTCTTCAGGTCATATATTCCTTTTTATTGGTCAGTGCAGATGATCAGGCTGAATGCAGAGTCGTGTGTTCACTGAAACCCAAAGGCCCGCTGCTGTAGCCCCCAAACAAAGGCAGAAACAAAGAGTAGCCACCACAAGCACCATATGCCTGCCCTGCTCTTTGAGTTATGATCACTTCTCGACTACCGAGATTCATAAAAAACACAACAACAAAAAAAACACGACACGCACAGTGACTGAACATGTGCACGTCATGTTACCCTTTGCAGCATGGGATATGATTTTTATTCATTTTGTTGTTCCGAGTCGTCGTAAATTAAACAACCAGAACCGCAGAGACCCCGGCCAAGTAAATAACACCACAGACCGTATACCTGTGTTTAATTCGAATTATTCACACTGCGGTGAGGACTAAATGTTTAATTTTTTCTTTACAAGACTGTTCCACGGCATTACATTACAAAAGAGGGTCGGCACAGTGCTGACAGCAGCATCTTTTCCCCCTCGAGGTGTACGCCGTGGCTGTATCGCTGGGTCAAACGCCTTCAGAGCAACACCACAGAGGTTAGTTAAAAATAAATAAATAAATAAATAAATAAATGTGTTTGTGTTTGAACCGAGGCCCCGTGTCCTCTGAGCTTTTCCTGTCTGCGACCAGGAGGTAGCTTCAAACGACTTCAGGAGGTCACCGGCAGAGCGGGGAAAGTTTTAAGATGTGCACGGAGGACACTCAGGACCGAAGAGATAGTACTCTCTGCGAGGAGCAAGGACTGACATTTCCAAAGTTCAACAGCCACTCTCAGCTTGGTATTTGTGCACAGCCAGGCTCTACAAAGGCTACATGCAGCACCTACAGAGTAGAGGCTCCCTGCACACGAGCACAGCTGCCTAATTACTTAACCGGACAATTAAACTGCATAAAATGTCTGATACACGAGACGGGGTCTAAAAAACCCCCAACAAAAACGAAACAAAACACTGTGCATCCTCTTTGATAATAAATCTGTTTGGTTTTCTCAACTGCAAATTAAGAATGTCACGCCGCCAGCAGCTGCTGCCTGCAGAGGAAGTCTCCACTGAGCTGCCTGGGAATCACAGGAAGCAGCAGAAACCCTCCTGCTGCCTTATTCTAATCCATACACATCACTTTCTAAAATACCCTCATGTCAACCTGTGTTAATACCAGTGGATGGTGATCATCATTACCGCTCACGAAAAACACACAATTACAGCCGGGCACTCTCTCTTCGAGAAGGTGGGTGTGTTTTCTCATAAGTCCCTCTTACCGATTCATTTCCTGGTATTCCAATTATACAGCCCAACACGAATGCCTTGTTCTTTGCATGAAGCATTTTATTTATTTATTTATTTATATTTTTTTTACAGCATTTCACAGAAAATGCTAACACGTTTTTCTTCAAGCTAATTGACAAAAAAAAAAGTGTTTAGCTGTAGTTTAAGAACGGTGTAGAGAGAATACAAACTTTCACGCTTAACCGTAGTGAAGACAAAAAAACAAATCACTGCGAGTGGAAACCAGCTGAAGTTGATGACATGATTGTTAGTCCATACTACGAGACTGAAGAGAATAATTCAAGCTAAAAATGAGGAGGAGTAAAAAGAAATCTCTATTGTGTCACACTGTCAAAGCCCCACAGCGGTGTCTTTATTATCATGATCTATTTTTAGCCTCGGAGCAGATTGTAACCTATAGTAACTCAGAAGAACAGTGTCTGCGTTTGCTTCGAGTGATTCTGAATTTTAATGACTTCCTGAGACTATTGATTTTCAGACCCATAAAGTTTCAGAAAGTACGCTCGGCTTTGCAAAAAGAAAAAAAAAAGAAAAAAAAAAAGCAAGAAAAACAGACAAGTTAGAAATGTCTACATTTGTTTCTACAAAACAATCTGAAAAGAGCCTGAAGTACTGGTCATTTCACATGAAAAATTTTCTTGTGGTGTAAGACTAAAAAAAAAAATTAAAAATAAAATAAAATATTTATGTTATGGTTGTGTTCCTCTGGATGCTTATGTGAGCATAGTTGAGTCAAACCTTTCACAGTAATCTTCAATTTCTCTTCATTCTTGTCTTTATTCTAGGCTCACAGTCGGCGTCTTCTCGTCGTTTCCCTCACTGATGCTCAGAAAAATACTTGGCAGGAAAACAGTGTGAAGAATTTAAAATTATCAGCCGCTGACTAATATAAGCACCCCAGCATGATTATGAGTTTTCAAGAGTTGGTTTTATTTTATTTATTTCTTTTGGTGAATATCTTTGTGTTGTGTTTTTGCCCATCACACAAGCAGTGAGATGTCGAATCCATTTTGGAATTGGGGCAAAAAAAAAAAAAAAAAAAGACTTTGCTGAA